CACTCCGCCACATGCAGCTGCTGGCGTGACCTTGGGTCAGTCACAAGTTCTCTCAGAGCTGTTCTCTCAAGGGCAGTTTGTGTCAGAGCTCTCTCAGCCCCCACCTACCTCACAGGATGCCTGTTGTGGGGAGGGAGAGGGAAAGGAGATTGTAAGCCGCTCTGAGACTCCGAGTGAAGGGCGGGGTATAAATCCAATCTCTTCTTCCTCCTCCTCTTCTTCTCATAATGCAGGGGTGGTCAAACTGCGGTTTGGGAGCCACATTCGGCTCTTTTCACGTGTATTGTGTGGCTCCTGGCAGGGCAGCTGGAGAAGTGGACGGGGAGGCACGCCTCCCTGATTGGTCTTCCCTTCCCCAGCCAGTCTTGCCTTTCCTGGGTAGGCTTGAGGCGAGGGGGAGCGGAGAAAGAGAGCAGCTTCAGCTCGAGATGTGTTCCGAAAGCCTCCCCCTCCCCAAGCCTACAAATATCGTTGGACAAATAAAATTATCATTATCAATATCTATTTTTGCCCCTTTTGTTTTTGGCAGTCTCGTTGAATGTTCATAAAAAGCAAATTTGCGTATTTTTCAGTAGAAACATCTGTAAAGTTTGTTCATGTCCTGCGGCTCTCAAACATCTGGCATTTATTGTATTTAGCTCTTAAGTTAAGCAGGTTTGGCCACCCCTGTCATAATGTGACCCGTTCAGCCATTTTAGCCTCTAGGGAGAGTTTAGGCTTGAGTCAATCTAGAACCCAACTAGTGTTCCCTCTTAAGCTGAGTCAGCGTGAACCCGGCTCACAGTTTTTTAGCCTCTGGCTCACGCGATTTTGTCTCAGCTCAGGAAGGAGGGCTCCAGAGCGAGCCAATTTATGCAGCGGCCCAATCGCTCGCTCTCAACTTTAATGCCAGTCGCTCACAAAGTCGACTCTCTGCTCACAAGACTCCACAGCTTAGAAGGGAGCATCTACCCCAGGTTCCATTTGGGACTGAAAGGAAACCTGGGTTTAGGATTTCTTCTGTCAAACTGGGTTAGTGGTGCCGAGCCCCTTGGCACACGGGACCAGTGAAGTCGACGCGATTTAATCACGTGTGTTCCTTACAAAGCCCCGACCTGGATAGCCCGACGCTGTCCTGATCTCATTAAATCTTGGAAGCTAAGCAGGGTCGGCCCTGGTCACGATTCGGATGGGAGTGTACCAAGGAATCCCAGTGTGGCTACACGGAGGCAGGCAATGGCAAACCACCTTTGAACGTCTCTTGCCTTGAAAAACTTACGGGGTCACCATAAGTTGGCCGTGATTTGATGGGGAAAAGAAATCCCTGTAAAACTGTATCGGTCATATATATATACTAGTACATATAGATGCTGATGCGTTGATCGATCGTGCTCTAATTCTGAAATCCAAAGTGGCTCCCTGGTATAAATTCTGTAAATTGGGCCATCGCGTGTCATGCTACTTAGTCAACATCTCCAGCTTTAACCTCAGAGTTCCCTTTACAGCCTGACGATTTCAGTCTACGCAAACAGCCCTTTCGGCTGGCCGCTATGCGCATACTCCAAAAGAGAACTGTCTCTGCATATGTGGCCTGTCAGTGGCGGAGGACCTCCCTCATGACAGGCTTTACTGTCCATTATATAGTCTCCCAAGAGAAAAATTCCCAGCAGGCAT